ACCACTCGGTAATAGGCATTGTGATTATTATGTAATTACCGAGGTAAAGAGCTTATGATCACGAACGACTACATGACTGGTTCAGGTTGATGTCGATGGTTTTTATACCGGTAAGTGATGCTCTATAACGTTAATCCATGACCTACTTTGTGTTCCGTCATGTCTAACGGTAAATCGGGTCTCCCCCGTCATCTTCGGATGTTTTGACCCTTCTGCATATTATATGAGACTTATTTACTCTTTTGTTACCGCTTAAAGTTTTGCCATCTTTATGTACGTCCTTGCTTGCATATAGGGTATTGCATTTACACCGTTCATATTGTTTGGATTCACTAGGCGTAAGCCTAACACTTTCTGGTTTTGATTACTTATCAGGTTCCGTTAGCGGCGGGGCTTAATAGGGTCGAAAGGAACGTTGGTTCGTGAAAGGCTCTTTTGTAGATTAAGCCTTTATTACTTTTGAGCGTTGCGTTTGTTTTGGTTATACGGTATTTTTGGAGATTGATAGAAACACCCGTCTTTATTCTAGTATAGAAAAGTCTAGATTAATAGGTTGTTAATTATCGTCTCGGTAGCTGATTTGTAAACGCTTTTCTATTACCCCTTTTGTTTGGTGAAATTTTTTTTATATAAAATTCTGATTTTTTTTCGTTACACATTTAAGTCCTTTTTGCCTTATATTTTTAGGGTGTTACACCATAATCAAATGAGATCCCCTTCTTTACTAGATAAATACACCATATGTACTATAAAGGGTTTTCTTTATTTATTTTTTTGCTTTATGACTAAGAGAAATATTGTGAGGATATGGATCCCATTTATTGAAACATGTCCCTTTTTAACTCGTTCAAATGTAATTAACGAAAATTCCTCGTTCAAATGTAATTAACGAAAATTCCCAAGTTTATGCACTTTTCACTTAAACCGATTAAACAAGTTAATTCTATAATACCTAGAGCATATGATAGATAAAGCACACCAACTCAAATAGTATGAGTTCTCATAAAAGGGGAGTGGGATGAACTCACTTGTAGGATTCAGGAGAAATCCTAAATTCTCGGGATTAATCCGATAGGCGCAAGGCGCGAAGAAAGCAGGACAGCGGCGTCTGAGTTGCTGTTTGAAGAAGGTTGTCCGCCGAATCACTACCGCGACTGCTTGAAGATCTGGCAAGGGATGCAACCAAAACTACACAACAATGGCACCGTTGCTGTTTGCTGTGTACGTACGAAACAAACAGCAAAGGAACAGCACAACAGTGCTTGTTGTTTGCTGTAAGTTGAGAACGGGAAGGCACGACAGCGTCTGCTGCTGCCTAAAGCGACACGGCAGCACCTGCTGCTGCCTAGAGCGGTCCCAAAAGTTGCTGTTTCGGTCTCTTTTTCACACAGCAGCCACGGCTGTGTGCTGTGAGCTTGCTCTCCAGTCTTTTTTTTTTCACACACAGCAACCACGGTTGTGTGCTGTGTGCTTGCCGTCCGGTCTTTCGATGAGGCTGACGAAGCTGCCTGAGGAGAGGTGAAGACAGTAGGCAGAAGTTAAACGTACAAGGTGAAGGCTACTGTTCCTGTAAAGTGGAAGGTGGCGAAGAGGCAAAACGGGAGGCAAAGCTTCTCGTTGATGTTGTTATTTCACGAGCACCGCCGCACCTGCTGCTGCCTGAAGCGACCAAAAACGAAGGACATCCAGGGAAGCTATCGAACGGGGCTGTAGGCACGAAAATGGTGTGGCCGGCGCTAAGGTGGGTCTGACCGGCGGTGGTTGCAGCTCCGGCAAGAGGGTCRCAGCTTGAAAGAGGTTTCCACAGGTATAGGTTAAGTCTAAATTCAAGAGAGGGGTCGGTTCATAATGTTGCACTTCCATCTCAACCTTCTCTCCCCCTCAAGACTTATCTTCCAAAACAATCTAAGTAGGGGTTAAGGACTCTCAGGGAAGAGAAGAACCCACAATGGAAAAGAGGATTACTCAAGTGAAAGGGGGGTAGGACAACCCAAAAAGGTCGTAGGTAGCCCTCCCCTAAAATCATTATGAAACCTATAGATCCAAGGAAGGCTGCAAAGTACACTTATATAATTATATGTATTTATATATAAAAGAAGGAGATGATATCACTAAACAAGGAAAGACTAACAAAAAAAGAAAGATAAAAGCTCTAGAAGGGGAATGATAACGTACCTCACTAACGGGACTAAAATCTCTGGTGCTCACGGGGCAGGGAAGAGGGAAAGATTTTCGAGCGTTACAATCCTTCCCACCTTGGGTTCAATTTCGTCCCCGAAATTTCGATCACTTGAAAAGTTGTGGGTAGCGCCTCCTTAAATCCTGTTCCGCTTCCCATGTTACGTTAGACCCTCGGTGATGTTTCCATTGTACTTTAACCATGACAATTTCTTTGTGTCTCAACACCTTGCTTTTTCTTTCCAAGATGGCTTCCGGTTCTTCAACACACCGGTTGTTCTCGTCCACACGAATTTTCGAAAGTGGAATAATACTGTCTTTTTCTGCTAAGCACTTATCAAGGTAACACACATGAAATGTGTTATGGATCCCGACCATTTCTGGTAGTAGCTCTAATTTATAGGCTTGAAGTCCCACTCTATCCAAGACTTTAAACGATCTGAGGAAACGAGGGCTGAGTTCCCCACGTTTTCCAAAACGGATAACTCCTTTCCAGGGGGATACTTTTAGCATAACGCGGTCGCCCACCTGGAATTCTATCGGTCGGCTTCTCTTATCTGCGCAACTCTTTTGACGAGCCTGGGCCGCCTTCAAGCACTCCCGTAAGCACTTCACCTTATCGGCTGTTTCTTGCACAATCTCGGGACCAGCGAATTGTTTCTCACCTGCTTCTAACCAGCATACCGGAGTCCTACACTTTCGTCCATACAGGGCCTCGAAGGGTGCCATCCCAATACTGGAATGGTAACTGTTGTTGTAGGTGAACTCCACTAGGGGTAGGTAGGAGTCCCAATTCCTGCCAAAGTCAATAACGCACGACCTAAGCATGTCTTCGAGTGTTTGAATGGTTCGCTCACTCTGGCCATCGGTTTGAGGGTGGTAAGCTGTACTCAAATTCACTTTCGTGCCCAATTCTTTCTGCAAGCCACTCCAAAAATGGGAGGTGAATCGGCTGTCCCGATCTGACACTATGGACAATGGCATACCGTGTCTCGAGACAACTTCGTCGATGTATAACTTGGCAAGCTTCTCCATGGGCAACGTTTCACGCATTGCTAAGAAGTGAGCACTCTTAGTCAGTCGGTCAACCACTACCCAAATCGTATCATGGCCTCTTAATGTTTTCGGGAGTTTGGTCATGAAATCCATCGTGATATGTTCCCATTTTCACTCGGGAATCTCCAAGGATTGAAGACTACCATAAGGTCGTTGGTGTTCCGCCTTCACTTGCAAGCAAGTCATGCATCTCTCCACATAACGAGCCACATCTAACTTCATCACAGGCCACCAATATGTCAATTTCAAGTCCCGATACATCTTGGTGCTACCCCGATGGATGGAGTATTTGGACTTGTGCGCGTCTTCTAGTAACAACTCGCGGTTGCCTCCAATCTTGGGTACCCAAATACGCCCCTAAAATAACTTCAATCCACGGTCATCCTCTGACAACAGCAAACGTTGTTTCATCATTATCTCACTCTTTAGGTTCTCTTCCAAGAGTGCCTCAGCTTGCGCCACCTTGATCCGATCGATCAAACTGGACACTACATCGATCCTGGTAAGCACAGCTTTTGTCCCACTACTATACTCCTTCCGGCTCAAAGCATCAGCCACTACATTTTCCTTACCCGGATGGTATAGCAATTCACAATCGTAGTCTTTGAGCAGCTCAAGCCAATGACGTTGCCTCATGTTTAATTCTTTTTTTATCAAAGATGTACTTCAAACTCTTATGATCCGTGTAAAGCGTGCACTTAGTTCCGAAGAGGTAGTGTCGCCAAAGTTTTAAGGCGAATACCACTGCTGCCAGCTCCAAGTCGTGGGTGGGATAATTCTTCTCGTGGTCCTTGAGTTGTCTGGATGCGTATGCTATAACCCTTCCCCTTTGCATCAAGACACAACCCAATCCCATTTTTGAGGCGTCGCTAAAAACTACGAAGTCTTCGGATCCTTTTGGCAAGGAGAGGACCAGGGCTTCGCACAATTTCTTTTGGAGAGTTCTAAAAGCATACTCCTGCTTCTCTGTCCAGATATACTTCACATTCTTCCTAGTCAAAGCTGTCAAGGAAGAAGCAATCTTGGAGAAATCTTGGATAAATCTCTGGTAATAACCTGCCAGACCCAAGAAACTTTGAATTTCTGACGGATTCTTTGGTGGCTCCCAGTTCATCATCGCCTCGATCTTGGATGGGTCCACCTTCACCCCGTCTTGAGTGACAACGTGACCCAAGAATTGGACCTCTTTCAGCCAAAAGTCGCACTTGAAGAATTTTGCATACAACTTCTCTTTTCTTAACACTTCGAGAACTTCTCGAAGGTGCTGCTCATGCTTCGTCTCGTCCTTGGAATAGACGAGTATGTCGTCAATGAACACTATCATAGATTCGTCAATGAACGGTCGGCACACTCGATTCATCAAGTCCATGAATACCGCTAGTGCATTCGTCAGACCGGAAGGCATGACCATGAATTCATAGTGTCCATAACGTGTTCAAAAAGCTGTCTTCGACACATCGTCTTCTCTTACTCGAACTTGGTGATACCCCGAGCTAAGGTCGATCTTATAGAAGCAACTTGCCCCCTGAAGTTGGTTAAAGAGGTCGTCTATCCTGGGAAGAGGGTATTTGTTCTTCACGGTTGCCTTATTGAGCTCTCTGTAGTCAATGCGCATTCTCAAGGTGCCGTCCTTTTTCTTCACAAAAAAACTGGAGCTCCCCACGGTGACGAACTCGGTCTGATAAATCCCTTCTCCAGGAGGTCTTGCAATTGAGACATCAACTCTTGCATTTCGGATGGCGCCAAACGATAAAGGGCCCTAGCAATTAGAGCGGTTCCGGGATGAGGTCGATCCGGAACTCCACTTGTCTATCAGGCAGTAATCCGGGTAGGTCTTCAGGGAACACATCAAGAAATTCATTGACTATCTTCACGTCTTCAATTTTCCTTATCTCTAGCTTGGTGTCTAACACATACGCAATGAATGAGGAACATCCTTTAACTAGGCACTTACGTGTCTTTGCCATGGATAAGAGTACTACATTCCCTTTCCTTTCTTCTCCATAAGTTAGCATTGTGTCCCCGCTCGGCAAAGGGATTCGGATCAGCTTTTTAGAGCATAAGATTTCTGTTTGGTTCTCAACTAGCCAATCCATCCCGATTATGATATCGAATCCGCCTATAGTCATGGGTATGAGGTCCACCCAAAATTCCTTTCCTTCAATCCCCAAAACACAACCTCTAACAATTTCGCGCACCAAAACTTGACTACCATTTGCTATCTCTATGATTAATGTATCTTCTAGTGTACTAGGTGGCGTATATAAGTGTTGATAGAATGCAGTGGACACAAAGGAACATGAAGCACCCGAATCAAAAAGTACATGATCAGGTACGGAGTTAACAAGGAACGTACCCGACACTACATCCGTCGACGCCTTAGCTTCTTCTCTCGACATCTGAAAGGCTCGACCTGTTGCTTTCGGGGCGCCCTCTTTTCTTCCTTGGCTTCCACCTGATTTCAACTTTTGGCAATCATTCTTGAAATGGCCCGGTTCCCCGCATCCAAAACATATGGGTCCTTTAATTGGACACTCGCTTCGTGTGTGGCCGGGCTTCCCACACTTAAAGCATTTGGTGGGGGTAGGATTGGTGCTACACAGGCCGTGATGTTTGCTGCGGCACTTGGGACACCATCTTGTCTCTTGATTGATATGGTTGCTGTTGCCAAAATGGTTTGGCTTTTTGGATGGTGCGTAGGGCCCTTCCAACTTTCTCTTCTCACCATTCGACATTCTTTCTTCCTTTCTCTTAACATAAACTGATTCCAAGACCTTGGCTTCTTCGATTGCCTCCCTGAGGGTGGATGCTCTAGAATTTCTAACCATTACCATCATGTCTGCAGGTAGCCCTTTAAGGTAGGTTTTCATCTTATCTTTCTCCGTTGGGGCCACGTGTCCCACCAAGTTTAGCTTTTCCATGAAGAGTCGTGTGTAGTCTCTTACCGTCAGATTTCCTTTTTTTAAAGTTCGGAACTCTTCTTCTATACGGTCCATCTCTTGCTCATTGCAATACTCGTCCATTACTTTTTCCTTGAATGTGGTCCAACTCATCTTGGTCAAATCAGTGGCCTTCATGGTCGAGATGGCAATGTTCCACCAGGTAAGTGCTGCACCCCTCAGCATTTGAGAGCCAAACTTCACTTTTTGCCCCTCGTCACAGTCACAAGCCCGAAAGGCTTGCTCGATTTCCCAGAGCCAATTCATGCATGCCACGGGATCGTCCGACCCCATAAATTCCGGTGGCTTGCAACATAGTAAGGTCTTGTAAGAGCAAATTCTACCCATTTGCCTCGCCTCGATCGTTGCTAGTTCCTGGGTTGGGATTACATTTCCCGTACCTCCAGACCCCCCCCCCATAGTTACATTCTCGGCAACTGCTTCATGCTTACGAGTATTACCGTCTCTGTCCTCCAAAAGCTTCATAAAGAACTCTTGTTGCTGGGCCATGGCTCTATTCATGGCGTTCATCATAGCACCCATCATTCTAGATTCCAGGGTTTCTTCTTCCATTACGGGGCTAGAGGTGGCAAGGTCGACTTCGGGAATGTGATTATTTCCACCGCCCAAGGTGTTTTGTCTAGGAGGAACCCTTGTGATGGTGGCTCGTGGCGGTTGATCTGTTGTAGATTCAGTTACTGCATGAACTTCCGGAGAGGTATCCCGTCTACTCCGAGTGTTCACCATTAAAGACTGTCATACAAGAGAGTGAAGAGAGTTATGATAGGACGAACACAGAATTAACAAAATACATACCGAAACATTCATAAATCCTTGTAATAACAGTAAGTTCAAGCACGCTTGTGTAATAACTTACTCAAAATAACATTAGATAAGTGAAATTTTGAATAGGTTATACATAAGAATTCTTAACACCATCGTCTCAATTCATGAATGGGGTAACTCCGTTGGCCCTAGTGCTCTCCTATCTTAAAAGTTTCTACCCACATCTCACAAATTAATACTTACAATCTCAGCTTAAGTCTAGGCGTCATGATCCCCTACCTAGTTCACTTAAACTAGTGTTTTGATACCAACTTATAACACCCTAAAACAAAAGGTAAATTTGAACCGAAAATATAAAATGAGAACCARGATTTGATACAAAAATTCACCCAACAAAGGGGTAATAGAATAGCGTTTACAAATCAGCTACCGAGAAGTTAAATAACAACCTACTAATCTAGATTTTTCTACAACTAGATTAATGACGGGTGTTTCTATCTATCTCCAAAAATACCGTATCATAAAAAATGCAACGCTCAAAAGTAACAAGGCTTTAACTACAAAAGAGCCTTTTCACAAAACAACTCTCCTCTCAACCCCTTGAAGCCTCGCCGCTAAAGGAACCTGTTATACAGGTCATACCAAGAAGAAGTGTTAGGCTTATGCCTAGTGAGTTCAAACGGTAAAATGAATGCATGAAAGGAGAGTCATTGCATAATAATGCACGTATATAACATTGACGTAAGTTAAACAATTTAAGGGGACGGTAATTYCAAGGTATAACATAGTGTGGCCAAAAACATCCGAAGATGACGGGGTAGACCCGATTTCCGTTATTTATGACGGAACACGAAGTAAGTCATAGATTAACGTTGTAGAGCATCACTTACAGGTATAATACCATTGACATCAACCTAAAACCAGTCGTATAGTCAGTCATGATCTTAAGCTCTTTACTTCGGAAATTACATAATAATCGCAATGCCTGTTTTCGAGTGCGTGTGAAGGTGATTGGAAATTACATAATAATCGCAATGCCTAAATCCAACTTACATCATCCTTCACACGAATAAACAAAACAAACTTTCATACTCATAATCCATTACCTCATAGCGTCATGTTCAAAGACGATAACTTAAGCATAAAGGCAAMTATTCACAATACGGTTTTTATATAAGTCCATAATCAAATGAGWTCCCCTTCTTTACTAGATAAATAAACCATATGTACTATAAAGGGTTTTCTTTATTTATTTTTTTGCTTTATGACCAAGAGAAATATTGTGAGGATATGGATCCCATTTATTGAAACAAGCCCCTTTTTAACTCGWTCAAATGTAATTAACGAAAATTCCCAAGTTTATGCACTTTTCACTTAAACCGATTAAAACAAGTTAATTCTATAATACCTAGAGCATATGATAGATAAAGCACACCAACTCAAATAGTATGAGTTCTTTTAAAAGGGGAGTGGGATGAACTCACATGTAGGATTTAGGAGAAATCCTAAATTCTCGGGATTAATCCGATAGACGCAAGGGGTGAAGAAAGCAGGACAGCGGCGTCTGAGTTGCTGTTTGAAGAAGGTTGTCCGCCGAATCACTACCGCGACTGCTTGAAGATCGGGCAARGGACGCAACCAAAACTACACAGCAATGGCACCGTTGTTGTTTGCTGTGTACGTACGAAACAAACAGCGAAGGAACAGCACGGCAGTGCTTGCTGTTTGCAGTAATTTGAGAACGAGAAGGCACGACAGGTCTGCTGATGTCTAAATTGACACGGCAGCGCCTGCTGCTGCCTAGAGCGGTCCCAAAAGTTGCTGTTTCGGTCTCTTTTTCACACAGCAGCCACGACTGTGTGCTGTGAGCTTTCTATCTAGTCTTTTTTTTTCACACACAACAGCCACGGCTGTGTGCTGTGTGCTTGCTGTCTGGTCTTCCGATGAGGCTGACGAAGCTGCCTGAGGAGAGGTGAAGACAGTAGGCAGAAGTTAAACGTACCGGGTGAAGGCTGCTGCTCCTGTAAAGTGGAAGGTGGCGAAGAGGCAAAACGGGAGGCAAAGCTTCTCGTTGATGTTGCTGTTTCGCGAGCACAGCCGCACCTGCTGCTGCCCGAAGCGACCAAAAACAAAGGAGACACCGAGGGAAGCTATCGAACGGGGCTGTAGGCACGAAAATGGTGTGGTCGGCGCTAAGGTGGGTCTGACCGACGGTGGTTGCAGCTCCGGCAAGAAGGTCGCAGCTTGAAAGAGGTTTCCACAGGTAGAGGTTAAGTCTAAATTCAAGAGAGGGGTCGGTTCATAATGTTGCATTTCCATCTCAACCTTCTATCCCCCTCAAGACTTATCTTCCAAAACAATCTAAGTAGGGGTTAAGGACTCTCAGGGAAGAGAAGAACCCACAAGGGAAAAGAGGATTACTCAAGTGAAAGGAGGGTAGGACAACCCAAAAAGGTGGTAGGTACCCCCCCCCCCCTAAAATCATTATGAAACCTATAGATCCAAGGAAGGCTGCAAAGTACACTTATATAATTATATGTATTTATATATAAAAGAAGGAGATGATATCACTAAACAAGGAAAGACTAACAAAAAAAAGATAAAAGCACTAGAAAGGGGAATGATAACGTGCCTCACTAACGGGACTAAAATCTCTGGTGCTCACGAGGCAGGGAAGAGGGAAAGATTTTCGGGCGTTACACATACATATACAAATAAATTCCAAACTCATAAGCAAACAAACTCTTAACTAAACCAACAATTTATGAATCGAATAGAGAAGAAACTTAATCCAAACCCAAACCAAATGTGCTTCTGTTTGTGAACCACCCTCACCCACCGAAAAAACAATTGCTTACATCCCTATTTTCTCATTAAATAAACCTAGTGACCATTTCCATATTTCCTAATAAAATCAAAGTTTTCTCTTATGCCAACTAAGTCAAGTTTTGACAACTATGATGGAGCTACTACTGTTTTAATGATATTTAACAATTCATTTAAATTTATATGAAAAAAAGAAGAAAAATAATACCCTTTCTTTTGCAAACCCAAATGGTGGTGGCGACGGGGCTGGTGGTGACGGCAGAAGAGAAGCAGCAAAACAGAAGCTGGTGGTGGTGGCCGGCGAAGACAATCGCTGTAACATAAGCTGGTGGTGGTGGCCGGCGAAGACAATCGCTGTAACATAAGCTGGTGGTGGTGGCCG